AGGGAGGAAGATGAAAAGGGCAAAGGGCACATGTGTACAGTGACAGATGGTAGTCTTTGGTTGGCGAACATGATGTACTGTATACAGAAATCAAAATATAATGATGTACACTTGAAATATATATAATGTTTTAAACCAATGTTACCTCAATAAAAAAATTTTAACAGTATAAGAATGGTGTTAGGCTTGCCAACACAAGCATTAGAAATTAGAACATAATGGAGAAGTACTTTAAAAATACTGAAGTAAATCATTTCAAATCTGGTATTCTCTACCTCAGTAAATAACAGTTGAGTGTGAGAACATAAAAAGGACAATTTTAGACTTGCAAGATCTCAAAAAATTTCCTTTCATGCATTCTTTGTTGAGAAACCTCTGGAGAATGTTCTCTAACAAAACCAGGTAATAAACTAAGAAGATGTGCAATCCAAAAAACAGGGGACTCCAAACAGGAGTGGGTGCCAATAGATTTTGGACTATCAGCTCCAAGCCCACTGAGGAAAAGCAAACAACAAAGAAGCCCATACACAAGGGTCATCTTTAATTCATTTATAATGTACCATCCCTTTGTTTTCAACCCTGTTGTGGCAATTTGTTTTAATTGTCTCACTCTTAAACAGCGTGTTACTGGATGTTCTTTTTTTTAACTCTTTTCTGAAAATCTCTCTTTTAAAAGAATTTAATTCATGAATATTTATTAAAATTATTATATTACTGCGATAATAATTTGTTTTCTGTTTGCTGTGCTTTCTAGTTTTGTTTCTTCTATCTTGTTACACAGCTATACCATATATACTGAAATATAATAAAACATATCACTGATTCAAATATATGATATCAGAATGTCTGATATCTTCAGATATCATTGAAAGACTTCTTTTGTATTATTTTAAAATTAATATTTTAATATATGCAAATGAGTACTTGTGATTGGATAAAACTTCCAGGATGCCATAACTGGATTCAAACTCTCAAACATCTTAGACAGAAATAAAGATGATGTGCTCTGAAAATTTACATAAGAAGACTCTAAAACTAGCTTTGGAACACAAAACACTATCAAGGATGTAGATAAAAAACCGTAATATATTTATTTCACAAAGTGTGAATGAAAAGTCGCATTTCTAAGTTTATTTTTATAATATATGGTTTTTATATTTAATAAATTCTAATTTATTAATTTTTTTCATGGATCATGCTTTTGGCTATTGTGTCTAAAATATAACCATCAAACTCATGGTCATGTAGGTTTTCTCCATTTTTCTTCTAGAGGTTTTATAATTTTGCATTTAACATTTATGTCTATGATCTATTTTGACTTAATTTTGTGAAAGCTCTTCTTTGATTTATTTCATCAGTATTTTGTAACTTTCCACATACAGATCCTGTACCTATTTTGTTAAATTTATACCTAAGCATTTCATTTTCTTGGTGCTATTGTAAAAGGTAATTTCTTTTCATTTCAAATTCTAATTGTTCATTGCTGGTATGCAGGAAAGCAATTGACTTTTGTATATTAACATTGCATCCTGCAACCTTGCTATAATTGTTTATTAGCTTCAGGAGCTTTTTTGTTTGTTTTGTTGTTTTGTTTTATAGAGTCTTTTGGATTTTCTACATAGAAGAGCGTATTATCTGTGAATAAAAACTGTTTTGTTTCTTCCGTCCCAGTCTGTATATCTTTTATTTATTATTTATTTTGTCTTATTGCACTAGCTAGGACTTCCAGTATGATGTGGAATAGGAGCAGTGAGAGAAGACACTCTTGTTTTATTTCCAGTCTTAAGAGGAAAATAACTAGCTTCTCATTCTTAAGTATGGAGTTAGCTCTGGTTTCTTGGGGGTTTTTATTTTCATTTTCTGTAGGTGTTCTTTATTGAGTAGAGAAAGTGTCCCTCTGTTCCTAGTTTGTTGAGAGTTTTATCACAATGGGTGTTGGATTTTGTCAGTTGCTTTCTCTGAATCAAATGATCATATGACTTTGCTTCTTTAGCCGGTTAATTATATTGATTACATTGGTGTATTATATTGACTGATTTTCAAATGTTGAACCAGTCTTGCATATCTGGAATAAATCCCACTTGGTTGTTGTGTATAATTCTTTTTACTTACTATTAGATTTGTTTTGCTAATATTTTGTGAAGATTTTTGCATCTATGTTCATGAGAGCTCTTAGTCTGTGGTGTTCCTTTCTTGTAATGTCTTTATCTGATTTTGGTATTAGAGTATTAGGTGTCATAGAAAGTTATAGGAAGTGTTCCCTCTTTTTCTATTTTCAATAGGATATTATGAAGAATTGGTATTATTTCTTCTTCAAAGGCTTGATAGAATTCACCAATTAAACTATGTAGTGGGCCTGATGCTTTCTTTTTCAGAAAGTTATTAATTAGTGGTTCAATTTCTTTAATAGATATAAGATTATTCGGGTTATTTGTCTTTTGTGAGTTTTAGCAGTTTGTATTTTTCAAGGAACTTGTCCATCCATTTAAGTAACCAAATTTGTGGGCGTAGATTTGTTCATAGCATTCTTTTATTATCCTGTTAATGTCAATGGGATCAGAAGTGATGACCTCTTTTTATTTCTGATATTGGTACTTTGTGGAGTTTTTGTTTGTTTGCTTGCTTTTTAGTTAGCCTGGGTAGAGGTTTAACAATTTTATTCATCTTTTTAAAGAACTATATTTTGGTTTTGTTGACTTTCTTTATTGCTTTCCTATTGTTAACTGCATTGATTTATCTTCTAATTTTTATTATTTCTTTTCTTCTGTTTGTTTCAGGCTCAAATTGTTCTTCTTTCTCTAGATTAGATACATTACTTTTATTACCTATTACGGGGGGGGGGGGGGTTATTTGTTTTTTCATGCATTCTTTTAAATAGCCTCTCAAGCTGAGACAGAAGTCAGAGATAAAAAGAGAGGTGAGAATATGGACAAGAATCTAACTTGAGGTTGTGGACATGAGCAGTAGCCAGAAAATTAATGCAGTGTGTGGGAAGAAAACTGGGATCTGGTGTAGATGAAATTTTAAAGAAATTCAGGAAGAATGATCAGGAGAAATCCTAAGAGAAATAGTTGAGCAAGAAAAGACTAAGGATGAGATAGATTAGAATCACTCACCATTGGAGTTGGAGGCAGAAAAGAAGGAAAACTAGAATTTGGCCAGATCAGGCTCAGAGAATTAACCCTGCTGCAGGTCAAAGCTAAAAATAGAAGAACAGGGTATGTTGTCATGAATAAAACTGACTTAAAGATACCAACTTGAATTGACAGAAATTCCCTCCAGGCCTACATATCACAACAGATCCTTCCAAGACCCCTTAACTTCCAGAATCCCCAAACTGGTGTGCAAAAGGGGGACTCTGTCAGTGGTTGTCATGATGACAACAGAGCACAAAGATTCTTGGTCATTTCCTTAGGATTGGTTTGATTCTGTAATGAAAGGTTAATTGAGAGGCTTGCTCCTCTTCTCCAGGAACGTCCCAGATCCCAGACTTCACTCTCATGCAGACATTTACCGTTTCTTCAAGACACACAGTTGTGATAGAGGCTGGCCTTCTGCAGTGATCCTTTTTAAAAATAGCTTAAGCCTTTTCTATCAATTTCAGTCCACATAGAAAGCTAAGAAATAGGAACTATGGACATCTCTGGCAAGTGATTATTTACTGTTATTTCATGTAATTGTTTCACATTTATGCCTTCATCAAATATTTACTCAGCATCTACTCTGTGACATACACAGGGTCAGGCAGTTGGTCATAGAAGTATGAGCAGAAGAAATGTGCTCCTTCCTAGTGGTTACCATCTAGTAGAGAATACAGACTTTAATCAAATAACACATTAATCATGTATAATTACAAACTGAAGTAAGCATTCTGAAGGTAAGTCACATAATTCTTTGAGGATAGTCATTCAACCAGTGTTTACCAAATACCTCTCATGTGCTAAGTACATCACAGTCTGTGACATAGCAGCTGTGTGGTCTTGGACAATTTACTTAACCTTTCTTAGCCTCCATTTGTTCAACTGTAAAATGTAATAGTGGCTACCACATACAGTCTTTATGATAGTTAAATGATTATTGTATGTAAAGCAATTAACATAGTGCTGGCATATGATAAAAGCTCGTCAGCATCAGATCCAGTCATAGACTGCTCCTGGGGAATAGAAACTAGGGCGTGTGTACTATAACTTTGCTGCACAGCCACTGCCAAGCACTGGGGATACAAGAATGAATACAATGTGGCCATGTTCTAGAGGAACTGAGTGGAATGGGGGGAAGAAGACAATTCGAGGGATTATTTCTAGTATAGTATAGTATAGTATAGTATAGGAAAATGAATGAATAGATTCAGAACTTATGTCAAAGCAAAACTTTAAAACTTTTGGTATAATATATATCTTTCTGTCCCTTGGGTAGGGAAGAATTTCTTTTAAAAGAACACAGAAAATGCTAATTCTAAAGGAAAATATTAATAAATTTGTCCATATTCAAATTAAGAACTTCTGTTCATAAAAAAAAAATAAGGAACGTGAAAACAAAGTGCTATAAATTGGCAGAAAATATTTGCAATAAATAAAATCAACAAAAAAATAGTATCTAGAATATACTCATACAAATCATTAAGAAAAATTTTTAAAAACCCAATAGAAAAATGTACAAAAGATATAAAGAAATTTTTCATAGGAGAGGAAAACCATAATGCCAATAAATATTAAGAGATGTCTGGTCTCACTACTAATCAGACACAGACATATAAAGACCAAATTTTACACCCATTCAATTGGTAAAAATTAAGGAGTCTGTCAAACTAATTTTGAAGAAAGTATGCATAAACAAGACTGCTTAAACATGGACAGTGAGAGTATAAATTAGACGACCACCCGGTCTAACAAAGTTTGACACCCGGCAAGTCTGCTTCTGAGAGAAACTCTTACCCATATACAAGATTCATAGAAGCACTGCTTGTAATTTTTTTTTAATGGAAATACTCTAAATACCCATTCATTTGACAAATATTTATTGAGAGTATATTTCATGACAGGCCTTATTATAGGTGTTTGGATATGGTAGTTATCAACACAGAAAAGAACCATTACTTCAAATATTGTACATTCTAGCATATGAGGCAATCGACATAATAAATAAAATAAATTACATAGCATGAAAAAGTAGAACAGGGAAGACGGATGTGAGGGGGCAAGATACGTCTCATTGAGGAGGTATGACTTGAGTAAAGATCTGCAGAAAGTGAGGAATTTAGCCAAGCCCATACTTGTGACAGAGAAAACAGCTGGAACTGTGGACCTAAGCAAGAACATGCCTTTGTACTCCAGGGAGAAGGAGGAGGCCCATTGGGGATGAGGAAGCAGAATGAGCAAAGGAGAGAGTAATAAGAGATACATAGGGTACAGCTCATATAGGGTCTTATAAGCCATTTTAAGGACTTTGGGTTTCACCCTGAATAAAATAGGGAGCTACTAAAAGGTTTTAAGCTTTAAAGGCTTTAAGTTTTAAAGGGCTAGTATAGGAGGTGAAAAAGTAATTTTCCCTCTACCTTTCTGAGTTCTTAGCTGAAATCCTCATAATAAAAGACAAATTAACAGGGAAAAATAAACAGAAGTTCATTAACCTGTATACCTTATGTATACATGGGAGACACACAGAAAAAAATGAGTAACTAAAGAAATGGCTTTAGAATTCCAATATTAACAGGGAAAGAGGAGGGTGAATGCAGGCCTCCTACAAGAGAGTAAATGATTTTTAGGAAAGATGAATGGGCCCTTAGAAGAATAAATGGGAGGTCTGATAGTTTATGACAAAATTTGCCTGGGTGCAATGTCTCCTATACTCTGATAAGAGTCGATCTTGACTGGTTGATGAAACTCAAGGAGAGGGAATTTATGACAATTTTGCTCTTTTTTGGAAGATCTGTCTGTAGGCAGGGATGAGGGGAGTTCAGAGAAAGCTTCTCTCTGCATTTGTTGTTTTTTAAGTGCCTACAGCTCAAAATCATCAACATATCAAAGCAGTATATTTTGAGGAGGTAATTTCTTCTACCCTTCAGTAGCATGATAGAACTTATGCTTCAACAGTACCACTCCAGCTTCTCTATTGAGAACAGCCTGTGGGGGACACAAAGATATAAGCAGAGGGACCACTTAAGAGGTTATGGCAGCAATCCAGAAGAGAGACAATAGTCTATAGAGATAACAGTGTATTGGCCCATCTTTAGGAGAATGGTTGAATGCAATGTGATATGCACAATTGGAATATTATGCAGTAGTGAAAACTAATTTTAATTCAACAATACGGATAAACCTTAGTAACATTGTTGAAGGAAAAGAAGCAAATATCAGATAGTCTATGACGTGATGCCTTTTACATCAAAAACAACTAAAACCATACACTGGTTTGCCCATACATACGTATCTAATAGAAATATCTTTTTAAAAAGGGAAAGATAAACACAAAATTTGTTAACAGTGGTTACCTCAGATGAGAGGAGGTAGGGAGAGTGAGGAGAGAAAGAGTATAAATCTAAGTTATTGTGAATGTTCTAGTTCTTCCAGGTTGGGAAATGGAATCAGTGTTCGATGGGGCCTGCAGTGGACCAGTGATTAAGTCCCTGCCCTCCACTTTCACGCCCAAGGTTTTCCCAGGTTTGGATCCTGGGCGCCAACCTAGCACTGCCCAACAAGCCACGCTGAGGCAGCTCATAGAAGGACCTACAACTAGAATATACAACTATGTACTGGCCGGCTTTGAGGAGAAGAAGAAAACAAAAAGATTGGCAACAGATATTGGTTCAGGACCAATCTTTTAAAAAATGTTCACATTTTAGGGCCAGGCATAGACGTCTTGAGCCAGGGTTATGCTTAATCCCGTTTTGTATATCTGCTTTTCATCGGAGTTGGGGGATGAATCAAGGGTTCGGGAAAAGGCTTCCCGTAAATCCAGAAAGGCTTTGCAACGGTGAAGTTTGAGCTGCATGCCTGTTGCGTGGGCTTCAATTTCACTGCCCCAGACTGAAGTTGAGGACAGGCCGCACGGGCGCAGCAGAGCCAAGTTGACTACTACAAAGTGCAGAAAAGACTCCTCCTCCTTCAAGGTCTGTGAATTTTAGGATAGCGGTGAAAACGCCAGGGACACAGAGTCTGAGCGCTGAGAAAGCCAAGAGGCTTCTGGGAATTGTAGTCCAAAGCCAGGCCGTCTTCTGCGCAGACTCAAAAGTCTCTGTGGAAGGAAGCCTTGAGGCGGTGCAGAGCCGTCCTTCCACCGGAAGTGTCCGATCGGAACCAGCCCTGTAAGAGAGGTGAGTCCGGATTTGGGGACCCAGGTGTCCAGCCCTTTGTCCCCTCCAAACACCCAGTCCCTACTATGTTCTATACGGGATTGTAGCAATCCTGTGTCGACCTGGACCGCGGACCTTAGAGGAATCCCGAGGAAAGGTGGAACTAGGTTCAGCGTTGGGAAGGCATTCGCGCCCGCCTATTTCGAGAGGGTAGGGTGGTTTCCATAGTTACCCCCGCCGCGTGTTACGTCATCGTTGAGGGCGTAGAGGGCGTGGTTCCGGGAGCCGAAGGCAGTTCTGGTGGCGGATATCTGGGGTCCTGGTTGTGAGGAGTGGCCTGACCCGGTCGGGCGAGACGGGGAAGGGTGGTATCTTTTCCGGTTCGGCCGCTTTCTGCCGGAAGACGCTGTCCCGGAGTCCGCCCCCGATGCCTGCTACTCATGGGAGGAGTAACTGCCTTTTCATAGAAAAAGTGGGGATAGCCCCCGCCTCCTCGTGAAATTTATCACACAGTAAATATTTAGTATTTCCTGTGTGCTGGGGATGTAGTGAAACCAACGCTGAGCCCCTGCCATCGTTCTCGAACGAGAGACAGACCGCAAAGTAGGCAATTACAAGACGGTGGAAAGTGCATCCACGTGAGAAACACAAGGTGCCGTGGGAGCCTTCCCCGACACGCACTTTGAATCCCCTGCTCTGCTCTGTGGCCTTTACTAGATTTCCGCCAACTTCCCTCCCTCCACCGACAAAACTGTTCCCCCGTCCTCCTTCAACCCAAGCATACACATCAGAGACCCGCTAATCCATCAGGAACCCTGCTCTTCGTCGAACCTGCACCTTTCCGAACATAATTACGCCTTCCTTTCAGTTCTAATGGCGTTTGTTTACATATCTGCTTAGCTTTTTTGTAACTCTCCCCAACATAATGATTGTAAAGCACTAGATGCTCAATAAGTGTTTATTAGCTTGAAGTTAGTAAGACATTTAAAAACCATCTTTAGGGGAAATATGTCACATCTTTGAGGACTAGATAATTCTCTCCACGGTTGTGGACTGTTTTAAGTGGATCAGAAGTGATGAAACACCTGGAGACAGAACTTTAAGCTATCTGAGGTGATAACATATGTTGTAGACCCAGCCACTTAGCATGATAATGGAAATGTAAGTGAATTGTGGATTATGTAGGTCCATCTTCCTATGCTGAATGAGAGAATGTCCATAAAGTATTAGGACACTACTAGGTAAGCACTTCACACATCCAGCAAACATAATAAGAAGTGAAATTAGATTTCTATATCAAAAGAAAGTCTCCGTAAACTATGAAGGATTGAGACTCTCTGATATATCATAGCACTAGCCCCCTTATTTCACCCTCTATCATTGCTAAATTTTGTTCTTACTTATACCCGAACTCTCTTTTCCAAGGTTCAATCTAATTCTGTGATCCTCATTTCATAATCTTGGAGAGTTGATCCCGATATTTGTCTTCAACTGCCCTTTCCATGGATCTTGTCTAAATCTATATTTCCATTCCTAGCTCCTTTCCCTTAAAATCTCATAATAACTGTTGGAAATGTTTTTCCAAGTTGATGTCTCCTTAAGACAGAATATCCAAAACACAAAGCATCTCAAACTTTCCTAATTTCCACTTTTATTGATTTTATTCAAATCGACAAATGTGAGAACTTAAAAATAATAGTAATAATGCATGGTCCTTAACCTCATGGAGCTCTAGTCAACTAATGAAGAAAAGCAGCCAAACAACTAAAAATAAAACAAGGTGATATGTATTGTATTCACAGATATTATGTATTGGCAACTCAGGGTAGAGTTGATGAATTCCGTAACTGAGGCAGTAGAATTCTTAGTCGTTCGAATTATTACAGCCTGCAGCGTGGTCTCACTATCAATCTGCTGTTCGTTCCTGCTTTCTAAGCTTTTCTTCTATCCCTTCCTTTTTGCCTTTCTGGATCTTTCTCATCCTTTATTGACCAGTTTAAGCCCCACCACCTCTAGGGAATATTTGCTACCATTTGCACACATACACACACATTCTCTCCCTACCTCTGAACTGTTTGGCTGTTGTGTCTCTACAACTTTAGTACTTCAGCGTTCAACAGTTATGAAGCGTTTTCAATGTGCCATGTGAAACGTTTCATTATTTAAATGTTATATCCATGTTTGTTTTATGTCATTTCTTTCCGAATGTTTTGCAAACTCTTTGCAAACTCAAACACTCTTTGTTTAATTCCTTATAGCCGTACCTCAGAAGACAGATTCTCCAGGCGTCCCCCGTACTAACCCAGTCAACATCCCAGGCATCTGTTTGTAACAAAGTTCCCACGTAATGATCAGGCAGCGAGCCCAGCTCTGAACTCAGACTTTCTTGGAAACCACTGCCATACGACCTCTAGCCCAGGGCTTTGCTTGTGCTAAGATTCTAAAAGCACATGTGAGTGAACAGTCAGTAGTCAACGTGGTGATAGGTCTAATAGAAGGACCGGAGGAATTGATATTTGCATTTGCTGTTGTCCTCTAGGACTTCATCTCTAAATTCCTCTTATTCAGTTTTTCAGTTCAGAAACCAGACTGACCATTCCCACTGCTGCTAACACTTGAGGAACTGATACTCAATAACAAGACTCACAGAAGGCTGGTTTATTATATTTTATTGGTGAGATGATAGGCCTCAATGTCCAAACCACAGACTAAGCCATGAAACTAGGAAGGCAGAGAAGAAACTGCTGGGACAAAAGGAAATCTATCTGGTTGCCGGCCCGGTGGCGTAGCGGTTACCACGCGTGTTGCACTTCAGTGGCCCGTGGTTCCCTGGTCCGGATCTCGGATGCCAGGCAAGGAGGATTGACGATGGATGTTAGCTCAAGGCTAACTTTCCTAAAAAAAAAAAAGGAAACCTATCTGGGGACTTTTGGGGAGGGAGCTAGTTATACTGACTGAAATTATTAACATCTGGCTCTCAAGAATATTTGTCCTATTTTATTATTTAAGAGATTTATAAGTAATCCTGGTTATAAATTCTGAATAGATAATTATAACATTCTCAGCGTCTATTTTCCTCACACTTGTATGAGTACAGTGGCCTCTTTTTGTTTCTGTCTTTTCATGTTGCAGTCCATCCTAGAAATGAACAATGTGTTAATCTCCACAAACAGTGTCTTTCAGGTCATTCTTCTCAAAAACTTTCATTGGCTCCCCAGTGCCTAAAAGATGAACTCTGAATTCATAAACTTGACAGTTGAGGCTTTCTGCAGTAAGGCCTCAGCCTTTCCTCTGTAATTTCCTGATGCAAACCTGCTGAACTTCCCAGTTCCCCACTTCCGTGTTCCTGCCATTAACCAATTGTTCAGGCTGTTTCCTTGCTTATAATTTCCTATTTCTCTCTTTCCCACACCCTAGTCAAATCCTTTCCATTCTTCGGAAGTTAGTTTTTTAATTGTTTCAGAAGTTAGTTTTTTAATTAAGCTTCCCTGACCATGCAACCTACTGTGCGCTTTTCCATCTTCCAACATTATGAAGTACTTCTATCATTATCTCTTTTGATCCTTATTGTCTTTATGACTTAGATACAATTTAATTGCATGTTGCATGTTAACATTTAGTATTGCCTTATATTTGTATTGCCTTATATTTAATATTTCTAATTTAAGTAACCTTATTTTTTAGTTGAAATTTTAAGCTGCCTTGAGGTAGAAATTATGTAACAGTTGTATTCCACAAAGCAGGTATTTCAGTGCTTTTACGCATAGGAAATGCCCAGGAAATTTTTGTGTAATGGAGAATGGCTAATTCTATGTGTGATCTTTCATCTTCCTAGAGAGTAATAATAATTTTTTTACCCCTCAGGAGAGTTCTTGAAACTAAATAAGACCCTTCACAAAGCAGAAGTGTGTTTTCTGATAATATATTCTATTCGAAGATGACAACAGGATCAAAGAAAGCTTCAGCTCAGAACCTTCAGGAAGATGAAGGACTTCTGATAGTGAAGATAGAGGAGGAAGATTTTGTCTGGCAGCAGGACACTTGCTTACAGAGAAGTGATCCCCTCAGGCAAGAGCTCTGCCGGCAGCTTTTCAGGCAGTTCTGCTACCAGGATTCCCCTGGACCCCGCGAGGCCCTCTGCCGGCTCCGGGAGCTCTGCTGTCAGTGGCTGAAGCCAGAAACCCACACTAAGGAGCAGATCCTGGAGCTGCTGGTGCTGGAGCAGTTCCTGACCATCCTGCCAGGGGATCTGCAGGCCTGGGTGCGTAAACATTACCCAGAGAGTGGAGAAGACGCAGTGACCATACTGGAAGATCTGGAGAGAGGCACTGATGAAGCAGTACTCCAGGTACAGAGGGGATGGGAGATCTAAGACCTCCAGAATGGATGGAGTCCCACAATGGGAGAAAAGAGCCTGAGATTGAATATCTAGTGAGACTTACAGGAGCTCTTAGTTCAGTGTGCATTTATATCTCCTTTCCTCTCTGTTTGGTACTATACTACATTTTACAATTGAATCAGACTTAATTCTTTCTTCCCTAGTTTTGTATTCCTACAGGAAGTTCTCTTTGTTTTTGGAAGATATTTAATTCCAACAGAGATTCTCTCATAAGCCCAAATATACTTTCTTTTTCTCAGATTCCAGTCCATGGACATGGACAAGAAATATTCAGGAGAAAGGTGACACCTTCTGGACCAGCACTTAATGTCCAGTTCCAGCCAGTGGACGCCAACGCCCTTCCTGGTTCTTCAGAACCCCAGCTCATAATGGACTGTGGTAAGGGGCAGTTTTCTTTGCGGTGCATGTCACTAAAGCAGTGTGACAGTAAATCTCCCTTCTCAGATTAGTCTGAGTCGCTGTAGATGTCCTTTCCTTTATTACCCAGTGAGAAGGAGAGAACCTTTTTTTTCTATGTCTCATTGACCAATTAAAAAAAATAATTTTGTTCCTTATCCAGAATATTTCCATTTTTCCATTTTTTCTTTATCTTGAATGTTTCCAAAACACAGGTTGTTTTTATTTTATGAGCAAATTAAAAGAAAGAGAAATGAATGAGTCAAGAAAATGTCAGGGAATGAGAAAAGAAGCAAAAGAAGAAGCAGCACATGGACAGAAACATGTTAATAGAGAAGTACGTGTAACGGTAGAGGAAGAGAGAGGCAGATACATTATGATATACTCATAAATAGAATATAATTCACAGATACATAGAATAAGATCCATATTGTTGCTGTTTTTATGTAATTTTGGTCTTCCAAAGCTCTCTTATGGTTTTATAGAATTGGCCATACTTCTGACTACCTCCATAGAATACTTATCACTGTCCTAAAACTGATCTGTTTAAAAAGTTCATAGATTCAGTATCACTTTAGGGGTGAATGGTCCCAAAAATAAACCCAAGAACAAATTACAGTAATTTTTTTAAAAAATACCCAAATTCTGCTTTCAAGGTTGTTCTGGAAACATTTCTATCCACCCCATCTAAAATTGTAAATTTTTCCCACCCTAAGACCAGCACTGCTTAACCCCCTGTCCTGCCCTAACTTATTCTAGACAAAGGAAACCCTATATAAAAGAGGGGCTGCTTGACTCCAGCACAATATAGAGTCATGAGCACACTATGGATTCGTGAGCTAAAAGGAAGGAATTATGAGGACTAAATAAGTGGGTCCTGGAAACCAGCCTGATGAATTCGGATGTGTTGTGCAAGAAAAGAGTAGAGTGTAAGAGGATGACAGGGTTTAATGACAGTCTGGTAAGAGTATTTATGATGGCTAAGAAGTAACAGCAAGGAGGCTGTTACAGTCATCTAGAAAGGAAGTGATGAGGTTCTTGACTAGGATGATAGTAAGAGAAATGTAGAGAAAGGAATGTATATAGGGGACATTTAGCAAAAAGTGGTGATAGAACTTGATTAAGCATGGAAGATGAAGAAAAAATGGAAGGTTGGATTGGATGGATAGACGGATGGAGGTTTTCTTCTTGACATACACATACCTCAGGGTCATTTGTAGCTTTACTTTTTCCTTGCATCTATATCCTCTTCTGCTTTCTTTGATATGGTGCCTCTCTTTCTCCCTCTAAACCTACCACTGGAAATCTATCATAGATTCAAAGTTCTCCGTCATATTGCATAGTTCTTTCTCCTTACTTTGTCTCCCCCTCCATTCTTGTGGGTGATGTTCCTATTCCCAGTCTTTTCTATTTGGTCTGTTCCTCCTTGAATGTCTGTTTCCTCTTTCTGCAAACCACTGCATATATACTTGCTTTTAACAATTTTTCTTTCTTTTGTGTCCTTGTCTATCACTCCTTTCATTTGAAAGGGCACATTTTTAGAGTGGCCAAGTGAGGTGCCAATATGTAACTGTATTGTACATTCCTCAAAATTTTCTGTTCTTCCAGCTCATCAAACAGGTATTTACCTCTTTCTTTTTTCATTATTTTAGATAATAAGAGTGAAAACAATGGATCCATGCCAAAGTTGGACATTTATGAAAAAATGGAATCGCAGAGAATTATATCAGGAAGAATTTCAGGATTCATGTCAGAAGGATCTGCTGAGTCTCAAAACATCTGTAAGTCTGCAGGCAAGATAAAGAGGCACTGGGAAAAAGAACCAGAGGAGTCTTGGAGACCATCATCTGCTCAGGATGGAGGTTTTAGTAAAATCCTCACCCACAAAAATACACTTACAGGTGAAATAATAAGCCATGATGGATGTTCTGAGAGAAGCTTAAATCTGAACACAAATGAATTTACACACCAGAAATCTTGTAAACACAGTACCTATGACCAAAGTTTCAAATGGAATTCAGATTTTATTAAGCATCAAAGAATTTATGCTGGAGAAAAAATCCATCAATACAGAAAATCTCTGAAGAGCCCAAATCTTATTAAACATGCAGCAATTTTCAGTGGAGAGAAAACGCATCAGTGTAATGAATGTGGGAAAGCTTTCAGACACAGCTCAAAGCTTATTAGGCATCAGAGAATCCACACTGGAGAGAGACCCTATGAATGTAATGAGTGTGGGAAAGGCTTTGGGGGGAGCTCAGATCTTATTAGACACCAGAGAATTCACACTGGGGAAAGACCCTTTGAATGCAAAGAATGTGGGAGAGCATTCAGCCTGAACTCACATCTTATCCTACATCAGAGAATTCACACCAGAGAGAAACCCTATGAATGTAGTGAATGTGGGAAAACCTTCAGAGTGAGCTCACACCTTATTCGACACCTGAGAATTCACACTGGAGAGAAACCCTATGAATGTAGTGAGTGTGGAAGAGCCTTCAGTCAGAGCTCACACCTTAGTCAACATCAGAGAATTCACAAGAGGGAAAACCTATTAATGTAAAGAACTCAAATTCATATGGAAATGCTAAGGAAATAGCAAAACATGAAAAACATTGAATGAAAAATAAACACTGGTGAGATGAATGACTGAAAGACCAGTGTCTCTTTTTTTCTCTCTCATTCTCTGGCTTGCTGTTCTGCATATGATCTTCAACTCTGTGTGTGTGCTTTCTGTGAGCCTGGGAATGTACGTCTGCCATTGACTGCCAAAGTCAACCCAAAAGAGCAGAATTTGGGTGAGGCTGATAAATGGGTTAGTCTAGAACAATGGAGATAGAAAAAAAGACTCTCTTGGGAAATAACCATAATTACAGAGCCAGGGGGAGGGGGTTGGAGAGGAAGATTCAGGTAAAGAGAGACATCATCAACCCTAGTTAATGATTCTCCACAAGAGGAGGTAAGCTAAGCCCAGGAATGGAATAGCTTGAGCAATGCACTGCAGAAAAGTGCTTTTGGAACATTCCTTTAAAAAATCAAGACACAACAAAATTAGAGTCATCTCAAACAAGAAGGCATACACAATGGTGGCATTCCAATATGGAGGCCAAAATCTATGTCCAGATTTACTTCTGCCAGGAAGTTAACAACCAGAAGAGCATACAAGGCAAGAAGCCAACATCCAGAGATTCAAATAAGACAGGAGGGGACGGGGCTGGCCCCGTGGCCGAGTGGTTAAGTTCGCGCGCTCCACTGCAGGCAGCCCAGTGTTTCGTTGGTTCGAATCCTGGGCGCGGACATGGCATTGCTCATCAGACCACGCTGAGGCAGCGTCCCACATGCCACAACTAGAAGGACCCACAACGAAGAATATACAACTATGTACTGGGGGGCTTTGGGGAGAAAAAGGAAAAAATAAAATCTTTAAAAAAAAAAAAAGACAGGAGGGGAGTAGAAGTAAATTAGGAAAGAGTTGGTGTTAGAGATGAGGAAAGTTGTTCAAATTGATCTAAACCTTAGAATTTGGAGGAGATAGTAGTATATAGTAGTATAACCAGGATTGTACTGCCACATATGCTGTGGCTTTTGGCACCTTCCCGGGGTGGGAGAATATAGACTATAGTTCTGGGGAGCTCTTGACAGAAATACAGGGCTCTGGCTACTGAGTTATGGAAAAGAGCTGAGGGAATTAGTACTACAAATAAAGATTCTAAAATCTTATTTCATTGCTGCTGGCTCCTCTTCCGTCCAGAAAAGACAGGAGAGTGTAGAGAGGTTGGTATCTGAGAGAAGAGTGGAGAGAGGAATCTGCAACACGTTGGAGCTCTACCATGATTTCAAGACAGAAAGGTGAATTCTGCTCTACTTGTTTTACCTGTTTGTCGAGGCACATTTCTGCTAATGTGAGCAATAAAAACAACCATACAAGGCTTAAATATTCCACAGTATATGTTTTTATGTGAAAACTCTCTAGCTAAAAGCAACCTCAATACTAGAAGTATGATCATCTAAGGTACAAAATCTTACAGTAAGAGACTTTATACAAACTTTGCATTTATTTTTTGATGACCTTGAAATAGAAATGTCGTGATAGGATCTAAATATGCCGATATTTGGTTTTTGGAAGGTAATATTGAACTCATAGGTTTTTTGGTTTTTTTTTACAGGCACTGTGCTAATGCATCCTATCTCATGATTGTACAAGTGGTGTTATTTTTCCCATTTTATAGTTGAGAAAATTGAGCTGTATTCCTGCACAAGAGCACATGGATAGCAAACGGTAGAAACAGGATTTAAACATATTATTCCAGGGCCTTAGTTCTTAACACCTAACCTTGATTATGCCACGATATTACTACCACAGGACATAAATCGGAAACGACAGTACTGCTCCACCATAACTTTAAAGTTGAGGGGGAGAGCGTTCGTTTACCACCCTTTTAGAAGGCTAACTGGCCATACATTTCAAAATAAAGGCGGCAGCAGGGAGCTGGGAGCCGCGCGAGACCACCACCGAGAGCGTCTTCCTAGAGAGGCCTAAAAGCCGCCGCTGAGCCTCGCTTGGCGGGCGCCTCGCCGCGGGTTTGTGTGGCCGGAGGGCCCTAGACGGCGGCCGAGGATCTTGTGCGCAGTTCCTGTCTCTAACTTCTCTCACGACTGCTGTTTATGTTTAAGAACAGGATTCCGGGGAAGTAGGCGACAGCTGCAGGAGGGGGCTGCGACGTTGAATCACGAGATTCGCCCCTCCTCCCACCGCCGCACACACAGACTCCAACACAAGGCCGGGGGAGGGGCCTGAGAGCTGACCCTGTTCCTTTCCCTCTGTTTTCTCCCCTCCGGGTGCTGGCTCTAGGACGCTCTGTCTCCAAGGCAGACGGTGGCAGAGGAGACCTGTTGGAGGGCTGAGGTGTATAAACACACACAAGCGCTCAGACCTGTATATGTTGTTAGTGAACCTCTGGACACAGTTTGATCATTTTCTGATTATGATCGGAAGTCTTATCTGTAGATTTATTTGTAGTGGAAAACACCAGCATGCTTGGTTTGGTATTTTAACTTCACTCCATTTATGGTCAAGCTTCACATTGTTTCTATATTATAAATTTTATTGTCTGTCTTGCCTAATTTGTGCTTTCTGTCACACATCACAAAATTCACCAGAACTGTTTTTCTTTTGAATTAATATTTTAGTGGTTCATTCAGTGAATTTCAAAATAACTAATCTTCTTTAACCTCAGTAAAAGTTGTTAGATGGGAGAAATTCATAATATAAAAATGCCAGTACTTATAGTGGGTTGAATTGTGGCCCCCAGAACCTCTTTGGAATAAGGATTTTGCAGATGTGATTAAGGTAAGGATTTCAAGACAAGAGTATCCTGTATTAGGGTGAGCCCTCAATCCAATAACAAGTGTCCTTATAAGAGACGAAAGGAGAAGACAGAGAGACACGGGGAAAGCCATGTGAAGATGGAGAGGTTGGAGTGATGCATCTACAAGCCAGGGAATGCCAGGCATTGCCAGAGCCACCAGAAGCTAGGAGGGACATGGAACAGAGCCTCCCTCAGAGCCTCCAGAAGGAACCTACTCTGTCAGCGTGTTGATTTTGGCCTTTTGGCCTCCAGAACTGTGGGAGAACATATTTCTGTTGTTTTAAGCCACGCAGTTTGTAGTAATTTGTTACAGCACCCTTAGAAAACTAATAAACAACTCTCCCCAAATTCTATAATGCCAAATAAAATACAAAATATAACAAAAGAGAAGGCAGATGGTTCTGCTTCCTGCAAAGATGACAAACTAGCATAGGCTATTGGCTCCTTCCACCCAAACCAAGCCTGGAGAAACTTTAGAAGCTGAAGGATAATATGGATTCCAGGAAATAACAGAGAGAGAAAGAACTTCTTGGAAGGACTAATGTCTATCTTGAATCAGTTGGGGGATGAGCTTCTCTATAGTCTGGGGCAGAGGAGTTAGTAAAATGTCAGAATGAATAAATATTTTTTGTTTGTCTTGGTTTTTTAAATAAATTCTACTTTTCCCTGTCCTTTGGGATCCTTTGGGATCCTTTGGAATAGTTATCATCGTTTCTTTCTGTATTAGTTTCCTATCGCTGCCATAACAAATTACTTCAAACTTAGTGTTTTAAAACAGCACAAATTTATTATCCCTGAGCTATAATGAAGGTGTCAAAAGGAGTAGGTCCCTTTCTGGAGGTTGTAGAGGTGAATTAATTACCTTGCCTTTTTCAGCACCTAGAGGATGCCCATATTCCCTGGCTCATGGCCCCTTCATTCATCTTCAAAGCCAGCAATAGTGGATTTAATCTTTCTCCCATCACATCACTCTCACCTCCCCTTCTACCTCCCTGTTCCACATTTATGGATCCTTGTGATTACATTGGGCCCACCTGTGTAAATCCAGGATAATCTCCCTATCTCAAGGTCAACTGATTAGCAACCTTAATTCTATCTGCAACCTTCATTCTCCTCTGTAATGTAAGGTAACATTCATAACAAAATAAAGAAGAAATACTCATTATTGTTACAGACTTCATCTCTACAGCTGTCATGTGGTTGTAGCTAGTATTTATAATTATCTTCTTCCTCTACACATTCTTTATTCCTTTTGCCCTCAGCAAACATCTCAGTTAATTGTGATTCTTTGCCTGGTGGGGTGATCCAAACTTTCATTCCTGAAGAGTCTGGACCATTAGTAGTTTCCTTGAATTGTAGTTTTCCATTAATTTTAATCACAGACATGGTGGTACTAAGAGAAATTCTAAGATACCTCATGTATTCACACATATTCTTCCTTACCTCCATTATGTAGCAGCAACCCAATTTACCCTAGGTAATCAGGATCAACCACGTAGCCAGGATAGCAAGCCCCTTCTTTGCCTGTTTTGTTGTTGTTGTTGTTGTTGGCTTTTTTGTTGTTATTTTTGTTCAGTGTTTTTAGGCATGAGATGTCTAAAGTGGCTAGGTTGCAGTCTCATCTTCCAATTCAATGGAATCATTGCCGGGTCTCCCGAGGGAAGCATTCCTGCCTTTGGAACTAAGACATCTAAACCATCTGAGGTGTTTGCTGAGGGAAAAGGGAATATGGAATGGGTAGTGGAAGAAGGTAATTATAAATACCAGCTACAATCATATGACCAATTGAAGAAACAAAGACTGTAAGAGTTATGAGTATTTCTTCCTTATTTTGTTATAAAGGTGTTATCTTACACTGCAAAAGGGAAATAAGTTTGCAAATCAGATAACCTTGAGGTAGGAAGAATATCCTGGATTATCCAGGTGGTCTGAATGTATTCACAAGGATCCATGAAAGTGGAAGAGGGAGGCAGGCAGAAGGGAAAGTCAAAGTGAGGTGATGTGAGAACGCAATTCACTTCAACCCACTATTGCTGGTTTTGAAGATGGAGAAAGGGGGCCATGAGCCAAGGAATATAGGCAAGATCTAGAAGCTAGAAAAAAACAAAGAAACAAATTTGCCCCTGGTACCTCCAGAAAGGAATACAGCCCTTTTGACACTTTCATTGTAACCTAGTAAGATCTGTGTCAGACTTCTAACCTACAGAACTGTAAGATAATAAGTGTGCATTGTTATAAGCTGCTAAGATTGAGATAATTTGTTAGGAAATAAATTAG